TAATGAGAGTAATCACAAAAAGTAGGTTAAAATCTATTGTATAAATTATAAAGAATAAAAATTAAGATTTAACATCCATGATGTATGAAAGAAGAGAATGCGGTATGTTATAATTTTTCTAATATTTAGCAAATGTAATTATTTCTACCCACAAACTTTGGCATCACAAATAGGAATGTAGCTTTCCGATATCATAAAATATATAGCAACCCTTAATTTTTAACTAAAAAGCAACACTCAAATTTCCTAGAGAAGTGATGTGCATTTTGCATGGAAAGTCTCTGAAACAGAGTTAAGCAGAAATACTGGGCACACCTGGCCCCTAGAGTCAGGAAATCACCCATTCTGACCTCACAGAATCTTAGTCCTTAAGGATATGTCATCCTAGGATCAGAAGAGTAAAATTTCTGGACTAATGAGGCCCTTTGGATATTGTATGCTGCAAGGATAAAAAGACTTTGCAAGTCAGCCAGCAAAAAGACCTGAGAACTTCCCTGCTCCATTGCACAATCATACATAGCCTCCTTCCTGGGATGATCCTCCTTGACCAGTGCCCCACTGGCTTAATTATTCTATTTGTTTTTGCTGATGTCACATAATCTATCTTCAATATTCAGGTAAGTTGTTCAACATCATTGGTCTTGAAGCAAAACAGAATATGAAATCCCTTGTCCTCCCTTCAGAAATGAGGGTAGTTGTATGTAATTTGGAGAAAAAGAAGGTGAGGGCACATACGAGTTAATGAGAAGAAAGCCCTCCCCAAATCTGCTGTCAGATGCCTCTACATTGACACATTTCATTAGCAACATGTGGTAAAAGTTACTGTAAATTTCAAAATTTAATTCTACTAAAAAGTATATTGCTACCATTTCCTTCTAAGAATTTTGACATCTTCAAACCTATTTATCTCACCATTCATGACACTTTGTGAGGCAGTTCTGAAGATCCTCCTTCATGAATGTCTTTATGAGGTGTGATAGATTAATACAGAGATTATTTATATCAGTGCCATGTAAGAGGAAGACAATCTCAAAAAAACATTGTCTTCATTCTTCCTGTACCTGATTCACCAGATCTGACAGTAGAAACATTTTGCTTCCCCTCAAAGTTAAAATGCCTAGGAAAGTGCAATCACCACAGAACTTTCATTCAGCCTTGACAGCGTAATAACACATAGATGGACTCTCTCCAAACTTCTTTTTAAAAAGTGGAAAGAACAATAAGTGCATTTAAAACATGAGATAATATTTTGGAGTCAATTAATGGCTATGTACCTTTTAACATTTTTTTTTCAAAAAATTAACGTTTGCTGTACTTTTCATCCCTCCTCTTCTCTTTGCACCAGTGCTCACCCACCTGTATTCTGATGGTCTCGTTCTCTTCCCAAGAACAAGTCCCAACTTTGTCAGAGCAGAAAGCTGCCACTTCTCAAGCTCAATGACTGAAATGAATTAGCCCTTTTCATTTGTTTATTTACCTACTTTTTTGGTGGTGCCAAGTAGGGGGTTTTATGAGTGGATTCGTTCTTAGTGATGTCATAAATGATGCTACAGTAGCACTGGTTTAATAATAGAACATTAAATGATCAGTGCTACAGAGGCAAAACTCCAAACTGCCAGGTGTCTGTGGGATGATTTTTCTTGATGTAATCCTTTGATTTACAGCCATTGGAGTTTTTATAATTTATTGTTTTTTCACCACATCTAAAATAGATCATCAAATAATGGAAGCTAAAAACAAAACAGCTATTTCAGAATTTTTTCTCCTGGGACTGATGGATAATCTAGAACTGCAGCCCCTAATCTTCAGCCTGTTCCTGTCCATGTACCTGGTCACTATCCAAGGAAACCTACTCATGATCCTGGCTGTCAGTTTTGACTCTCACCTCCACACCCCCATGTACTTCTTCCTCTACAGCCTGTCCCTTAATGACATCTGTTTAAACACTACAACAGCTCCAAAGATGCTGGTGAGCATCCAAACACAGGATCACAGCATCACCCAAAGAGGCTGCCTTGCTCAGATCTATTTAGTCTTGGTTTTTAGTGGTTTGGAGACTTGTCTCCTTGCAGCAATGGTCTATGACCGCTATGTGGCCATCTGCCATCCCCTTAGATATGCAGTCATCCTGAACATCTGCATGTGTGTTTCACTGACTCTCTTCTTCTTGTTCATTAGCATCACGGATGGAGTGCTACACAGTCTGATGATGTTGAGTCTGTCCTTCTGCACAGAGCTGAGAATCCCCCACTTTTTCTGTGAATTTGCCCAAGTTATCAGGCTCACTTGTTCTGACACTTTGGTAGGTAACATAGTCATATATATTGAGGTTTGCATTTTGGGTGGTGTTCCTGCATTTGGAATCATTTTGTCTTATATTCACATTGTGTCATCTATATTGAGAATGCCCTCGCCTGAAGGGAAGTTTAAGGCTTTTTCTACCTGTGGCTCTCATCTCTCAGTTGTTACCTTGTTGTATGGGACAGGTTTTGGGGTGTACATTAGTTCTGCAGTAACAGACTCAATGCAAAAGGTTGCAATGGCTTCAGTAATGTATTCTGCGGTCTCGCAAATGGTGAACCCCTTTATCTATAGCCTGAGGAAAAGCGATATGAGGGCCGCTTTGTGGAAACTTATTGCTAGGATAGCCTCTCTTCTGTGATATGTTATTTGCTCTGTACTTGTATAGGGTAGGTTAAAATTAAAAGGTTCTGGATGAGTCAGAGTGTCCCTACTTAAAATTACCAAGTAATGTGATGGCTCAGTGCATTCATTTTATCTTGGATTAAATCCTGATTTTGCCTTTGTCAAGGTCTCTGATATTTTAAACATAATCACAATTCTAAGTATAAATTGTTTCTTGGAACTCATAGAGGAAAGCCTGGGCAACGATGCTGGTTATGACAATTACTACTGTGTGTGTGTGTGTGTGTGTTTGTGTGTGTGTGTGTGTGTGTAAACTCTTACTAAGACAAATCTAAGCAACCAGTGCTTATAGGCCACAATATATCAATGAAGCGATCATTTAAAAAGGCACTCTGCATCATTTTGTCTGGAGTCTTTAGAATTACATCCTACCCATAATCCTACTGTGAGCAAAACAAATGAACTTTTATGCTTTGTGAAGTTAAGAATGAGTCCTGATCCTGGAATACTATATCATTGTAGTTTAAAATTCTATTAAGCATATTCAGTTTGATTATATATACAACTGGCATTATAGGATGACATTAGTCTTTTGAGATAGTTGTCATCAATGATGACAACTTCAGGGCTAAGAAGAAAAGATATGCTAACATTAATAAACTCAGACAATAAGATACTTATGTGTCCTGAAAAAGACCTAAGAGGCAGGTAATGTAATAGCAGAGAGGAGGGTGCATTCAGTCCTGCCTGAAATGGCCACTTCCTTGCACTTGCTCTCATCTGGGTTCCCAAATGATTGCAACAAATGTGTGTCACAGTCTGACAAGGCACCACAGACATAAAAAAGTGAGTCCTTACTTGGGTGTGTTCATGAGCAACTTTCCTTGGGTCAAGCAGACTGCATCTCCATACTACCTTACCTGTTGATCCTCAATGCATGTTCTAATCATGTCCTACAGAGTTGTGATTAACTTATTTGATAAATTGGAAAATGGCAAGCATTTTCAAAGGGGGATTTTTAGATAAATGCTTTTACTCCATTATCTGCATGGGCTCTAAGTACTTTCTTATCAGACAGACAGAAAGAGAAGATTGTAAAGAAGGAATCATTGTAATCATGCACATAAGAATTGGCTCAACAATTCCAGTAATGGATCACCAGTGTTTGCTTATTTTTTCTGTAAAGTATCATATTTATGGGACCATAGTGCATTTTTATCAAGCTTCTACATGCTCCTTTGAAATTTATTAAATAAATGTGCTTCCGTTCAACCTTGTTAAAGTTCAATATAAGTGGAAGAATGCCTTATCTTTTTGTTACTTGTAATATTCTGTTCAGAATAAACTCTGAGAATGTGCTTAGCAATTAATAATTTATTTTAAAGGTCCATATATTTATATTATGTATGACATTAAAAATGAAGAACATTTCTGATAGTGGTGAAATTGTGGTAGTTGTTTTTCTGTTATTGCAAATAAATAAATTTTGTTTGAATATGCTCTACCACATTTCCTGAAGGAAATGAAACATAATTTAATTACTGGGGTAAATCTGTTGGCTATAACAGTGCAACTTTTAAATTTGTGACAGTTCCAAAGACATTTTATAATAGGGTTTACCAATTTACACTTTTGTTAGCTATTCCTAGTTTTCCATACCATCCCCAGACATTCTCCATTGCTCTGACAATGGGTTTAAAATAGCATTTCCTTAACTTAATTTTTTGTTATTATGAGACAATGGAGTCTTTTTAGATATTATGGGCTATTGATTTTCTTCTGTTGCCAATAGGAGGACAAATGAACCATCATATATTCTTTCAAGTGAACTTCTTATCTATTCCTAAAATATGAATTAAAGTAAGTGTGGTAATGCATGTCTGTGATTCCAGCACTCTGGGAGATTCAGGAAGGAGGTTCACAAATTCTAGCCTAATCTGAGAAAAATAATAACATGGTGAGAATCTGTCTCAAACTAAAAAATGAAAAAGAGCTGAGAATTTAACTCAGTTCACAATTTCTTGGTTCAATCCCCAATATTACAAAGAAAATAAGTTCATAACAGTTATTTATGTAATTGGAATAGAAATCCTTATATATTGTATATATTGCTAAAAATTGCTTAGTAACATGTCTGATTTTAATGTGCTTTATAATAATCAATAGAAACCCCTAACAGGTTAGTTATAACATGGTCTGATTCATCTATATTTCTTCTCATAATCTGTATTTAATGTCTTGAGATTGAATGGGATACTGGGTTGGTAAAAGAGCTTTAATCTTGCTTTTTGTTACTGATTCTGAAATTTATATTTGCCTTTGATATGAAAATCTAAATTCATTTTTAATTATGTGCATCTTTTTTTATAAAATTGGTCCATTCCCTCAGTGTAAAGCCCATTCAGCAGTTAAAATAAACATTCATGTATGAAGATGTTGTCTTTTCTGGGTTTCTGAGCAATATGATTTTTATTTCTTTTCTTGCTCTTCTGCCACATGTCTTATTCCCTGAAGCACAGGAACTGGATTAAATTAAGATTGCTTTAATTAAACTAAACCCATAACTTTCAAAATTCAAAGTGACAAAAATTCTTTTACAACAGCTTAACTGTTTTTCTGATAGTTTATTATTTTCCCAAAACATAATGATATTTGCAAGTGGGAGTCACTGAGGAAATTATAGCAAGGAAAGAAAGAAATATCAGTCTCCTCTCTCTGTCTTGGAAAAATAGAACAAAGTGGGTTGGCATGCGCACACCGAAAAGAGGGTCATCACTGAGTCTCAATCTTTGGAATCTAAATCTAGAGCTTGGCAACATCTAAAACATTGAGAACTAAGTGCTTCTTTTTTTAGCCTACTCAGCCTATGAAATTTTTATTAGCACCAGATGTTGACTAAGATTTGCATTAATCCGTGTGTAGAAGAGCAATCAAAGGGAAATGTAGGTATGGAAGGTAAGAAGATGTTGTACTTTCAGCAGTGGTGGAAAGAGTTGTTGCTCCAGAAGTTATTTGCATATTTGTTCATTCACTCATTACAAAATAACTGGATGAAAAAAAAACAGTGCATCTGTGTATATTCCAGACAATAACAATATAAAAATATTTGTACTGATAAAATCCTTATATTCCCTGGAAGAACAATAGCCTCTTAATTAATTGGTGCTGGAAAACTGGATTTCAAATTTGCAAAGATTAAAACTAGACCCTATCTTTCACCATGCAATAAACTAAAATCCAAGTGGATTAAAGTTCTAAATATTAAAACAGAAGCAATAAACTTGCTGGAAGATAAGTTAGGTAGAATTCTCCTAGCCATTGGTATAGGAAAAGACTATGAACAAATCATCACTAGCATGGGAAATAGCACAAAGATTCAACATTTGGAATTTAATATTTTCAAAAAGCTTCTTTACCATAAATCAAACCATCAACAGAGCTAAAAGACAACTTACCCTGTGTAAAAA